ATTTTAAACGAGGGTGGGTGGTTCAGTGACCAGGATGCACAGCCTGGGGGACTGGGGCAGACTCACACCAGCTCTGTCTGACCCGGCCTCAGGGGCTCCTGTGCCATGCCTGTCCAAAGGCCATAGTCCTGGGGGAATTGAGCCCATGGTTGAGAGCCCCTGGGCTCCAGCAAATGTTCCCTGTCCTTTGCCCCCTCCTGAACTCCGGCCTTGCCTTGCAAATGTCTGGAGCCAAGGACATAGGGACAGCCTGGCTTCGTAGGAAGAGGCAGAAAATCTCACTTGCAGGGCACAATCAAGTTACTTGCTTTGGGCTGGTTCCAGAGTAATGGCAGGGTGCATGGGGGAGTGAAGAGAGGAAGTGCCACTTTCTGAGAAAGAACTTGGTTCAGAGCTGCTTCAGCTGGTCATCAGTGCGTGGCACCCCTGCTGGCCCTTGCTCTCCTCCTTTCTCCCAGGCGGCCCACACCCTAGGTCAGCACTCTGCACCCCTCCCTTCCCACCCAGCATGCACCACGTGAAATCACAGGGCGTCCTGTCCTCCGCCAGACCACAGTAGGCCTCTTGCTGCAGAGCAGGCTGCCTGGGGACAGACCCTAAGTGTCAAATTTAGAGCCTCAGAGAGATTCCCAGCTTAGTGAGAAAGGACACTTGGCTGAGTGAACTGGGACCATTGAAATGTGCTTTTATCTGTCAGGTTCCTCCCATTCAGTACTCCTAGGCCCTCGATGTGTGACAGCCAGACTTGTTGCTGCGAGTCATTGAACTTTCCTTTTGGGTCCTCAGTTTCCTTGACTTAACATGAAGAGAATGTGCTAGAATCGGGTGGCTCATATGACCACCTCTGAGGGTCAGGTGAGTAATACAATTTAGGGGGACACACAGGTGACCACTGCCCTCTCTGGCTGAGGGTTGGTCCCTGCTCTGCTCTGGCAGGTGGCTGTGAGGCAGGAATGTGGACCAAGAGGTGCCCAGGTCACCTCCTTTAGGGCTGAGGGAGCTGGCCTGGGAGTGCTTGCTGGCAGAGCCTTGCTGACCCGCACGGCCTGTGGGCTGAGTCCACCTGCCAAGGCTGGAACTTGGCAAGGGTGCTTCCCAGGCCTATGTAGTTCCATTCAGTTGCTTAAGCAGGTCTTTTTGAAATGCATCACCTGCCACCACTTGGAAGACAGTGTTCTAGAGACTTTTGCCTCAGTGCAGCCCTTTGGGGGGTGGGTTTTTTGTTTTTTGTTTTCTAAAGCAGGCCATGGTTGTGTTGAGGCCCCTGTTGGTGGCCAAGCTTGAGATTAAAGAGCTTTTATGAAGAAAGGCTCTGGTAGGGGACATCTGGGACACCTGCTTCACACCCTCAGCCCTCCCTAGAGTAGCCCCTCAGCTCCTTTTCGAGGACTCCCCTCCCCCCGCCAAGTACAGGAAGGTGACTGGCTGTCCCTGTTTCTGGATTCCCAGCATGGTCAGGAGCAGATTTGTGCCCTGGGCTGGGCCACCGACCTATCTCAGGACTTGAGTCCTGAGTAGGGGGAGGGCAGAGGCCTGGTGGGAGGGCTGTGGGGGCAGAGTGCTCATCGGGTCTTCTGGCACATGACTGAGAGCACCCCTCTCTCCCCAGTATCTGTCTAGTAACCCCTGTTGCTCTCCTAGGGTGGCTTCTGTGGCTGGGACCATTGATGTCTTGCTCCTGGTGGATACAGTGACCAGCCAGGTGGAGAAAGTCCCCAGATCCGAGACGTGTTCTCAGGGACCCTCTGATGCCCAGGGGTTCAGTGAGGCACCACACAGCCTCTCCCTTCACTAGGCCCTTCACTTCTTCCCTAGATGTCCCTCTCTCCTTGTACATAAGGAAACCCGGGCACCGCAGGGTTTGCTGTGTGCCTAGGCCCTCTGACCAGTAGAGGAGACTTTCTGTGGAGGAAGCTATTTAACCCTCAGGAGTGTTCAACCCAGATCTCTGACTTGCCAGTTAAGAGGTTAACTGTGAGCGGCTGAGACCCCTTTAGCTTTGGACTTTTAACTACTGTGTGAAGCAAACCCTCAAATCAGCTAGGGTTTACCAGGTCCCCACTTTGTGCAGGGTTCTGACGTGGCACTGGGGCCCTTTGGGCTTGACAGCCAGTATCTTGAAGCAGGGTCTGTGGGGGAGCCACAGAAGGAGGGGTGGTGCTGGGGTGCTGTGTCAGGTGGCAATGTGAAGTCTGGGCGTCCACATGCCACTCTTGCTGGCAGCTGCTGTGACTGCTAAGCTGTCTTTGTGTCTGGCATGCAGCCCTCTGACCCCTGCAGCAGGTGCCTCTGCCCGTGGGCATCTCCAGAGGGACAGGGGGTGACCCTGGACTGAGGTGGCCTAGGTGACACTCTAGGTCTAAGAAAGTAGAAAAGGTGTTATTTACAAAGAACATATTAAAAATACACTAGAGAACTCAGCTTCCACCTCTCCCCCTGGGTCTGAGCTTCTGGGCAGTCCTCACTGGGGTCCAAGTTTGAGGAGAGAGCCGATTCTGCTTCCCACAGACAGGGGAGGGGTCTTCCAGGGCCTGGCCCCCCAGGTGTCTCTGCTTGGGGGATTGATTGTATGTGGGCTCTGCCCTCCCACAGCTGCCACATTTGAGGGCTCAGCTGAGCTGTTTTCTGGGTCTTCCCTGGGCCAGGCTCCTGCGGCGGACGGCAGAGCTGGCCTGCGGCTGTCCGGCAGCAGGACACGTTTAAAAGGCCCCCTGGCCTCCGTCCATGTTCCAGCTGGGGCAGAAATTGGGACATATTTCCAAGCGGCCGATGCAGAGTGTTCTCAGGATACAGGTCTGGCTCTGGATGTTTGTTCCTGGTCCCTGGGTCTGTGGGTGAGAAGGAAACAGGTCAGAGGAGGAAACCTCACACCTGGAGGTGGCTCTGGGGGATGGGGGTCAGGCCCCAAGGCCCAGGCTCAGTCAGGGTCAGTGGCTGTCCCTCTGGGTCAGGGGCTTCCCTTCCTGCTGGCAGCCCCAGAGGGGTGTAAGCCCATCAGCAAACCTCCTCGGGTGGTCCCCCGAGCTGGAGTGCAACAGGTGGCGGTAAGGTCTCGAGTCCCCTGCTCCAGCTGCCGGGTCCGCTCCCGCCACCCAGGCCCTTGATGCTTCCTCATTGTCTCCCTTCCACCAGTCCAGGCGCGGAGTCCCGTTCACGGACAGCGGGGTGGCAGGAGCTGGGAGCCCAGCGCCGGCGCTTGTCCCTGGGTACCGGGACCCTGGGTGCGGGGCTCGCTCACCTTACAGCCTCTGAGCCCCGTGCAGGTCGTAGTCGCTGTCAGAGGAGTTGTCAGGTGGGGCGGAGGCTCGATGCAGGGCCCCTTCCAGGGCTGTGGAAAGAAAGGAGGCCACTGTGGCCGGCTGGTCCCACCAGGCCACACAGGCCGCGGGGTGTCGGGGATCAGAGGGGCTTTGCGGGCCGCTGGCTTCACAGCCCCGTATCAAATTTGATCTTGATCGAATCAGCCGAACGTTCTCTAATGATGCTGAACCCAGGCTCCCTGGCGCTTCAGTGCGGGGCCTCTGGTAGCTCCCTTCTGCCTCATTTACTCGCCCGCCTGCAAGGCCCGGCAGAGAAAGGGCTCTGCGGGTCGCAGTGGGGCCGAGTTAATGGCGCCCCAGGGCCTTCCCTCCTGCTGGGTGGCCCTTCCACGCCCTGAGTGAGCGCCGCCAGCCCGCAGTTCACTCTCCTCCCCAGGGCGCCCTGCTCTCTGGCGGTGACGTGACCTCCGCTGGGGGGCCTCGCCCTCAGAGCACCCGCTGTGTTACCTGGATAGGCAGAGAGGTGGGAGTTCCTGGGGGGCTGACTGTACTCATTCTCCACGTGCGCGGCTGTGGGGCTCTCAACCTGGGACCGGCGGACCGTGGCCCCGTGGTCGCGGTGGAAAGACACTGAGCAGACAGAGGCAGGAGACGGGTCATCATACTTCTCCTGCTCCGCCTTCCCAGCAGGCGCCCAGAACTTTAATTTCCTGCTCCCACTGTGTAATGGGGGAGGGGCTGCAAGGGCACCCACAGCCCCTTTAACACCCACGCTCCTCTTTTCCTTTCTTCTTGGACAGGTTCTTACTAGTGGGGAGGGGAGGGTGAGACTTAGAGCAGGTTTGGGTTGGCCAGCGAACTGAATGGCAGGTTGGGCCTTCAGTCGGTCTGTTAGTCAGTCATCGAACATGTTTTAAGAAGGGAATTGGAACACAAGAGATAGGGCAGATATGCCTCCTGCCCTCTCAGAGCTGAGGGCCTTTATTTATAAAAAAGACTTGACAACACAGAGCTTTCTTGAAGGATTTCGCTCTTGACAAATGTGGGGTGGGAGGGAGGAGAACTGTGGTTCCATCCACGAGGGTGGCCCTGGCTGTGGCCACAAGGAGAGAAGACAAAGGCCAGGTGGGGGTTGGGCTGGCTGCATCAAAAGTTTTACAACTGGCCTTTGGAAGTTGTTCCATGATAAAGACATTGTACGATGCCCATTAAGGTACTGATAAGTCCTGTAATAAAGAACTATGTCTAGCTTAGCTTAACTCATGGCCATCCAAATCTATTTGATCATGGAGTCTTCCTTTCTGAGTACCACCTGTTGCCACAGTCGCACCTTAGACAAGGGTGGTGGGGATCAGAGGCCTCAAGCAGCCACCGGCTCCATCTGTGGTCAGCAGTGAGCCTCAACCCTGACTCCATGGTTTCCTTCTTGAGCCCAGTGGACACTGGCTGGGCTGAGAGAGGACCTTGCCTCCGGGGACACTTACCGTTCTGGTTCATTCCCGTTGGGCCAATCCACTGGCGCTGCTTCTTCTGGCGGACTGGGCGACAGACAGGAAAGGCACATCAGGGTGGGGGCAGGGGGTGGAGGAGGCGCAGGTGCAGCTGAAGGGGGGACTGCCGGACTCTGCCTGTGAAATCTTTGGGGGCCTCAGTGTTCTGACTTGCTGGGGAGGAAACTGCACTCATTTCATGCTAGAGGCGGCTGGTTCTCTGAACAACCGTTTAGAACCAGAATTAAGCCCTGGGAGGGTGGTAGGGACCCAGCCAATACTGCCCACCTCTGGGCCTTCTCTTTTCAGCCCCTCTCATCTCACCTCCTTGTCTTTGAATAATTTTCTCCTGAGTTCTGCAGGACAAGGCCAACAACCTGCTATATTCTTCACTAGGTGAGTAATCACCCACTTGGTAGATGAGGAAACTGAGGCTCAGAGAGGAAGTGGCTTAGTCACCATCATGTACAACTGGTAGGTGGCGGCACTGGGCTTGGGACATACCTCTCCTGAGGTCAGAGGCCCTGCAGATGACCCTCTGGGCCGGTCACGGTCTAAAGAATAGCCACACCCTCCCTTTGGCTGGGAGTGGGTCTCAGCTGGGCCCCAGGTGTGGGTGAATCAGCAACTACAACATCCCTGACGTTCTGTTTCTGTTACTTTGGGCAGAAAAAGGCCAGTGGGCAGGAGAGGAGTGGGGTTGGGTGGCGAAGCAGAGGCGGGACCCCTCCTCGTCTCTCCACACGGGGCGTGAAGGGGAGGTGGTGGTCTGGGGCACCTGCACCTACATTTCTTCACCAGCTTCTTGTAGGCGAGAGGGCCGCACATGACTATCAGCACAGCCAGGAGCGCAAGGGCCAGGACGATGCTCATCACGGTGCCTGTGCCCAGACCCTTCGGGTTCGGATCCTGGCCTGGGGGAAGCATAGGAGTCAGGTCAGTCCCACCCCGTCGGTATCAAATCTGTCCATTCGGAGGGAGGCTGCTGGCTGGCGTCTCCCAGTGACTCACGGCATGTGTGGAAGGCAGTGATCTCTCTGGCTGTCTCTCCACCATCTCTGGGGTTTTCTGCTACACATCTATCTGTCTACCACTGGGGCTCTCTGTCTAGCTACTGGGGCCTGTTCTTCAGAAACGTGCTCACTGACTGGGTCCTAGAGGGAAAGCCCAGAACTGCCCCCCGCCTGCCGTGGGCTGTGGCCAACTCACATGTGACAAACACCCTCTTGCAGTGGGTTCTTTTCTCCTGAAGCTGGTGGCACTGGGACAGCTTCTCCTGGAGGCAGAAGAGCCCCCGGGAGGTCTTCTCGCCGGCATCCAGCACCTGGTAGGAGTTGACGTCGCCGCACTGCTGCTCCTGGCACACCTCCTCCCACCGTGAGGGGCCCTTGGCCGGGGGGGTGTAGCACAGGGCTTCCCACCGCCCGCCCTGGCGCACTTCCACGGAGCCTGCACACACGCTGCCGCCCCCCACCAGGCGGCTCTGCACCTTGGGCTGGAAACCTGGGGGGGGAAGCAATGGGAGATGAGGTGGCAGCCTGGAGGGAACTCCCTCGGCCCTGAGCCGTGTGCCCAGCCATGGGGGCCCCATGGGGAACAGAAGCCAGGACACCTGGTGTGAATTAGTCGGTGCTGCCCCCTCCAGGCTGTGCCCTGAGGGGCAGACTGACATTTAGGCTTGTCAGGGTGGGGCCTGGAGTCCATCACTGAGGTCCCTACTGCTCAGTTTAGAGGGAGCTGTGATCTCACCAGTTTTGGCCAGTTTCCATGGCGACACCCTCCTTCAAAGCCCTAGTAAATCTCCCATTTAGAACCAATGTCAAAGGCCAGGCCCCTGGGTGTGGCTTGCAGGTTGCAACCTGCAGGAGGGCCGGGTGGGGCTGAGAGTCAGCCCCTTCCCCTCTTCAGGTCAAGAGACCCTTGGGGGCTGCTTCTGCCTGGAGGGGGCAGCACCGACTAATTCACACCAGGTGTCCAATGGGCGAGGCCACCCTCCTTGTAGGAGAGCCCAGTGGTCCAGGACAATGCTTCCCAGCTTTGTGCCCATGAATCCCTAGGCCCGGCCAAAACACGGACCCGGAGGCAGTAGGTTGGGGTGGGGCCTGAGGGTCTGCATTTCTAACCAGCCCCCCTTGTCGTCCATGCTGCTGGTCCCCGGCCACACTTGCAGTAGCCAAGGCTTAGGCGACAGGCTCTGGAGTGACCCTGCTTGAGTGGAAGTCTCAGCCAGTGCTCTCTGATATTGGACAAGAAAAGTCAGCCTCAGCCTCCTCATTTGTAAAGTGGGGACAATAGCAGCGCCCACCCCCGAAAGCTCTTGTGAGAATGAAGAGCACCCTGGCAGAGCCCTGGCCCGACGTGCGACTCAGCCAGAACCTCCCTCTGGCAGGAGCCCTCTGCCCGCTGAGCCAGGCAAGGGTTAGTCTCCCTCTTTTGAACTACAGTCTCTTTCCCCTCAGTTTCTCCATTGATCTTGGTTTGGGGGGTCCCACAGACCAGCCTCATTGGCCACCTTCCCTCAACCACACCAGCATTGCTAGTCCCTGCGGGAGGCCCTCTGGGGACCCGCCCTGGCCCCTCTCTGAGTGCTGTTCCCCCAGGGCCCTCCTGCTCTCAGCATCGCTGCAACCTTGTCTGTCTCTGGGATTTACAAACTCCCCTCCTGCATGGCTTGTCCTGCCAACTGCTTCATCCTGCTCTGGTCCTGGCACAAGCCACGATTTGCACCTAGAAGCCTTCTCTCCCTCGCTCCATTGTGCTCCTCTCCTCCTTCAAAACCCACGAGGAGACCCTGCCTCCTCCTGGAAGTCCTGCTGATCCCACCTCCCGGTGGGGCACGGGCATTCGGGCTTGCTCAGGTTGCTTTGCAGACATTCCCAAGGCACTGAGTGTAACCGCAGCCTCTCCACCCCACCGCACATTCTTGTTAGAGGCCAACCATCCACCTCCCTCGTGTTCTCCATACAGCCATGTGCCCTGTGCTGCATGCGGGGGTATTCTGGGAACACGTGGTGTCTGACCATCTGGGGATGCCCGGGGGTCTGGCTGGGTCTCACTCACCAGAACAGATGAGGGCGAGAGGTTGGCCACTCTCCCAGGGCTGGACTCTTCGGAAGCACTGCCCCAGGGAGGCACAGCTCGCATTCTGGATCTTCCATTGGATTGGCAAGGGCCTGCTCTCCCCTGGGGCTTGTGTCCTGGCTGCCTCGGCCTCTGACAGGTGCTTCAGGAAGGAGCCACACTGGAGGGCCTCACAGATGCGGTCCCCCAGGTCCTTGGTCCAGTCCTGTTCCTCATAGCTGACGGTGCCACCCAGGATGCCACTGTAGAATTCTACCACACCAGCGCACCGCAGGCCCTCTGTCCCTGGCACCAGTTGCAGCCTGGGAGGAGCTGGGGGGTGGAGGGAGAGGGGTGTGTGTCTGAGCTTTGACAGCTGGCAATGGGGCCCTCCTTTCTCCTACAACTTTGGCTTTAGCACAAGGACGAATGAATGATTGGCCGATGGCCCTGGGAAGTGGAGAGGCCTCAGATATTGCATGGGACATACTTCCACTAAAACTTTTCATGTCTCCCTGAAACTCACAGCTAACTGGGCATCCTGTGTTTTAAACCACTAAATCTGACACCCTCCCCCTAAGGGGCCTCCGAATCCTCTTACCTGTGGGCTCTGGAGTGGTTATGGGTGGTGGCCTTGTGGGAGGAGGGGTCGTCTTCGGTGGTTCTGCAAAGAGACACTCTAATGAGAGAGGGGCTAGGGACTCTGGAGGAAGAAAGATCAGGGAGGAGTAAAGAATGGGGCACGTGGGAGGGTTGAGGGCAACTGGCAGTGTTGGGGAGTAAGCACCACTTGCCCCACTCGTTGTCTCTAAGCCTCCCCTGAATGGGCATACCAACCCATTTTATAGCTGGGAAAACGGAGGTCAAGAGGGGACAATGAAGTTAGCAGATTCTCGACCTTTTCCCTCCTACTAGACATGTGCCAGGATCCCTCAGCCTTTCCCCTCAAGTCCCCCACTGGTGAATGTTTCGGGGGGCACTTATAAATCAGGGACCCCCTTCTACCTGCCTGCTCAGGCCCCAGATCACAGGCCCTGGGCAGTCTCCTTGGGGCTGGTGCCCAGGCCCAGGGGACCCACCTAAGCAGATCAGGCCCAGCGGTTCCCTCTGGTTTTCCTTGCTGGAGTTGCAGCTGGAGAAGGACCCCAGTTGTCCGTAGCAGGTGATCTGTGTCTGGGGGCTTTTGAAGTAAGGAATGTGGGCGAGTACCAAGGCGTCCCTGCAGTTCAGGTTCTGGCAGAGCTTGGAGGCCTGCTTGAGGTCCTCCCAGCGGCCTGGGCTCTGGCCCCAGCTCCGGCTGTCCACGGTGTGCCATTTGCCTTCAAAGATGACTTCCACCTGGCCCTGGCACTGGGAATTGGAGTCTGTAAGTCTCACCTGGAACCCTAGGGGTCAAAGAGGTGGTTGGAGGTCAGGCTGGGAAGAGCCCCTCACTACTAGCCTGCCCTGGGGTGGGGCTCAGACCTCTGAGCCAAGGGGAACTTGGAACGGTGGGCAAGGGGTCCTCAGCACCAGCAGCAGAATCGCCCCGCTCCTGGAATTTCTGTCTCCATAGATCCGAGATAGGCCTGGTGCCTGTTTCTTTTTCTCTAACTTTTAAAATCAATTTTATTGAGGTACGATTTACACAGAATGAAACACACTCATTTAAAGGGTGCTTGCTCAGTGGCATTTGACAGATGCATACGTGTCCAATCACCACCACACTTTAGATATAGAATATTTCTATCACCCGGAAAGGTCCCAATCCAGCCTCGGGCAACCACCGATCTCCTCTCTGTCACTAAAGATTAGTTTTGCCTGAACTAAAACGTCACAGAAGTGGAATCACTCGGCATTGTTGTCTGTGTGTGGTTTTTAGTCTGCCTTCTTTCCCGCAGCATTTGAGGTGTTGGGGCGCAGATCTGGACTTCACCCTTTCCCATGGCCCAGTGGGCTCCCTGTGGACATGCCACATTGTGTATTTGTTCGCCATTTGGGTTGTTTCCAGGTTTTGTCTACTATGAACATTCATGTGCTGACTTTGTCTTTCTGTGGACACACGTTCCTGTTTCTCTTGGGAGAATAGCTAGCAGTGGAATTGCCGGGTCACAGGTAGGGACACGGCTTGCGTGGTTTCCTGAAGCTCCGGGAAGGAAAAAATAAGAACATATGTTTGCATTTGCATAAAGAGATTCTCTTAAGATATGCAGCAAATGAATACACTTGGGGTGTTAGGATGGGAAAGAACTGGGCAGATGGGGAACAGAGATGCAAGTGAGATTCTGTACTGTAGGCTTTTTACATGTTTAAGGTTTTGAGCCACGCAACCGTATTACCTACTCAAGAAAAAAATTTTAAATATGAAAAGCGATTCTGAGGTGGAGGTTTTCCCTGGTGGGGAATTGCTGGTCAGGCTGCTCCCCGCCACCCCCTGCCCCTCCCCAACGGATGAGGGCACTTGGGCCCCAGAGGCACAGGGCTGGGGCCGGCCAGTTCACTTGACTAGTTAGAAGGCAAAGGCGCTCGTCCCCACACCTGATACGGGCACAGGCCCCTGCTGCCTGGTAGAATCACAGCCCCGCTCCCCCCACCTCGGCCCCAGGCCCTCGAGTGGCTCTTCCTTACCTGGCTGCACCCAGTTGGACAATCCGAGGCAGGAAGTGACTGTGGGAAGGAGAGAGCAAGGTCAGGAAGTGGAGGCTCCCTCCCGCTCCCCCACCCGCAGGCTGAGCAGTGGCCTCGGTGCGGGGCCACCTACTGGAACCCCTGGGTGGGTCATGAAGTCAATTTAGCGGGTTGCAACCTTCACTTTGTTTCTTGTCCTAAACCTTTGCTTTTTAAATGAACATGCAGGGAACTAGATTTGCTTGCAGTGCTCAGTTCTGTGAATGTTAACACATTTGTAGACCAGCGTCACCGCCATCAGAATCAAGGCGCACAGCACTTTCCTCACCCCCCAGATTTCCTCCTGCTCTCCCTCTAGTAATAAGTAGTATCACAAACATTGATTTTTAAAAAATGAAATGGACTAGAATAGAGGACATCAGAATGCCCTGTGCGTTGTGGGGATAAGAGTCACTTTTTGTGCCTTAGGTTGCAAAGTAAAAATGCCCTGTGCATTGCTTTCAATCAAAAAAGTTTGAATTCTATAATTCTAGAGAACCAGGAAATGAGCCAGAAGCGAATCCAAGACAAGGTTGCTACTTTCTGGTATTACCCTGGCAGGACAAGACCGCAGCAATGTATCTCTCCCAGCTCCCAGGTTCCAGAGCAGGACACTGAAGCTCAGACTTTGATCGACAGGGACTTACCCACCGTGGTGCAGCCTTGGCAAGGGAGCCAAGGCCACAGCCCCAGTGACCTGGTCTGCAGGGAACTGGCCTTCCCTCTGGCACAGCTCCTGAGAGCCCCAGAAGACCTGACAGCCCCATGCAAGGGGAATGGCATCACCGTTTCCCAGACAAGGAGACTGGCAGCCTGATTTAGTGTGGTTTGAAGTCAGATGATCCATTTTTCTATAAACAATAATTCCCCTACTAGTCCATGAACTTTTCATCGATTTACAGCAAACTCCGTATGTCTGATGGCCTTTGGGAGCATTCTGGGTTCTCCTTCCTCTCACCCTCTAATGAGAAGCTGCCTTGGAAGGTCAGAAACCCCTGAACGGACGCCAGCCAGGGAGCGGTGTCCAACCTGCATCTGTGCCAGGGCTTTAGGGAAACAAAGATCACAAGGGGCAAAATGGTGTTTCTTGGGCCGAGCCCCAGGTGAAGTGATTGGTTTATTAGGAGCTGTTTAATGTGCAAAACAGCAGAGAATCACTCTGGGCTCACACCCAGAGAGCCCGAGGACTGGAGCCTGTGGAAGGAACAGCAGATTTGGGCCTCTGATCTGGCTCCCCCGGGGCCCGTGCCAATGAGCGGATTGCGAGCCGATGGCTGCAGAGTGGGTTTCATGATTTAGCTTATTGCTCTCTCTGCGAGTGGCCTGCTGTCTAATTGAATTTGCATGAGTTTCATGCCACACACGTGTCTCCACTGTCACAGGGACAAGCTCCCCTTTTGTTCAGAGCTTCACGTATCTCAAAGCTCTGTCACACACAGGGGCTCATTCCTTCCACCCACATTCCTGTGTAGAAGGGACCAGGCTCACCCCCATTTTAAAATCAGGAAACCGAGGTTCAGAGAGGCTGAGTGACTTGCCCAGAGTCACACAGCTCACTGGTGGTCGAGTCAGGGGAGAAAACCCATCACTGCCACTTGACAGGGCCTGTGGGAGTCCGCCATTGGGAGACCCCAGCGCCTGCTTGCCCCGTGGTACAGATAGGGGAAACTGAGGCCGAGAAGAGGGAGGACTCCCACCAAATCTCTTCCAGATCTGCCCCCAGAGAGAAGGGAGTTTTGGGCGGCCTGTGGGAGCTCTGGGGGTCCAGCCTGTAAGGGTTCATAACGATGATGATGGTAGTGGTGATAGCAGTAGTTACGGCGGAGGTGGCCACAGTCCCTCATCACTAGGAGGTGCTGCCAAGACCTGGTTGGCCGGCGTGTTATAAGCACACAGCTCATGCACAGTTTACCTTCTACAACAGGAAAATCCTGAATTCCCAGAGCAACTGGCCCAGGGTTCAACGTAAGGGCTCGTGGCCCTGAGAAGTGAGTTACTGTTTCTCTCAAGGATGCTCAGCACACTTTCTCTGCTGCTCAGTTCAAGGGAGAAAAAGACCCTCAAGGAGGCCCCAACCTGTGCACTGACGGCTCCTCTGCCAGGGCCCTCCCCAGGCTGGCATGGCGCCCTCCCTCCCTTCCTCCCTCCCTCCCAGTGTTTTTTCAAACATTATCTTCTCATGAGGCCCACTGCACCCTCCCAGGTACAGCATGGCCCCCCAGCACTCCCAGCCCCCCAACCCACCCCACTCATGACTCCGAGCACCCCTACAGTCACTGGCCTACTTCGCCTCCTGTCTGACTCCCCATCACACCCCGACTACAATGCTGGATCCACCAGGACAGGGTTTTTCGTGTTCACTGCGATGTCCACAGCACTTAGAACGGTGCCTGGCGCACAGTGGGTGCTCAATACATGCTTGCTGTTGGAATGAATGAATGAATTGGATGTAATGACTGCAGTTATCCTGGAGGCAGGCACAGTGCTTGTCCCCATTTTCTAGATGAGAAGGCTGAGACTCAGAGAGGCGTTCTTGTCATTTGTGAGTGGCCAAGTAGAAATCAGTCCCAGATCTGAGCTGCTCTGAGCCCACAGGCCTCCACGAATGTGCACACAACACACCTGCACACATGACACACCTGCACAAATACCCACAGCACACATACACGCTCACACACGCACCCACATGCATGCACATACACACACAGTAGGTATTCGATCAATTTTGTCTGGTGGAGTTGAAGTCCCTCCCTGGCCACTATGGAGAAAACCCCTCTGGACGGTTGGAGCTGGCAGAGTGATGAGAAGGGCCAGTGCCAGCCCCTGGTCCCTCAGCTCACTGGGACTGCTGGTACCTGAGCCTTTGAGCCCAGAGTCAGCAAGAGCCTCAGCTCTGCAGCCCGAACCTGGGACATAGTACCAGGCCCATGAGGGGAGGGGGCTTCTGTCTTGTTCACTGCTGTGTCCCCAGTGCTTTGCACAGAGCTGGACACATAGTAGATGCTCAATAAATACTTGTAGGTGAGTGAATGAATGAAAAGCCTGTGCAAGAGGGTCAGGGAACAGAAAGGTTGACAGCTAGGCTGGCATCTGGCAGGACCCCTTCCCACCAAATCCACCTCACCTTGTTTCTTGCTGACTCTGGTAGTAATAATAATAATAATAATAATAATAATGCTTCTTGAGCACTTTACTGTATTCCGACATTCTTACTAACATGCTACATGCATTGATTCGTTTAATCTTTATAAACCTGTATGAGGCAGGTACTATTATATTCCCGTTTTGCAAAGGACAAAACTGAAGCTTACAGACAGGGCCAAGGTCACCTAGCCGGCCAGTGGCAGACAGTTCGAACTGCAGAGTCCACGCCTTTCCCATACCCCGGTGCTGGCTTCTGGAGTCCTGGCGGCTGGGTCCGACCCGACCATGCAGTCGTCAGGGCTGCCTCCCACCCCTCCCCAGCAGGTGAGCCCCAGGCAGGTTGGGGCTAAGGGCAACAACAGGGAAGCCATGGTGACTGTCACCCCAACCATGCCACAGGCATCTTCATGCCCCAAAGGTCCCTAAGTCACCAGCATGGCGGAGAAGGCCAGCCAGGAGGCTGCAGCGTCCCCAGAGCTGTGGTGGCATCTCTTCTTGGAATGGCTTGAAGGTGCCTGTGTTGTTTGCCCCCGGCTCCAGCCCGGGACCTTGGCACCCCTATACCTTGGTGGCTGCAGACCTGCTGGTGGCGGCTGTGTCTTGCAGCCATTTTCCTTCTCGTGGGAGTGGCTCAGCTAAGGGTCCAGAGAGGCCTCCCTGAGAGCAGTAGAGCTCTCGAGTGGGCTGGGGTCCACCTGTCAACCTGCTGCTCGCTAGCTGCTTCACCCTGGGCTGGCCGCTTGGCTTTCCTGGACCTCAGTTTTCTCCACTGTGAAATGGAGACAATGGGCTGCCTACTTCACAGGCTATTGTGGAGCATATTATAGAAGAAAATGACTTTAAAGGTATTTTCTAAGCTGTGACCCACTGAGCAACAGGAATGTTTATCATCCACCAGCACACACACACACACACACACACACACACATGGGGAACCACGTGCTCCCAGGGTCCCAGATGGTTCCCCTGGTTCTCGGGGTTAAGGCGTTGCCTCCAAGGCTTCCTAACTGTGGGCTCCTTCGGGCCGTGGACCTGTGTGTCCTGCCAGGAGCCTCGCCCCGCAGTGGGACTCAGGTGGGAGGGAGGCCCATGGAGCAGGACCCCCACCCCCATACACAGCCCGGAGCTTGGCCAGCCCCCTGCTCTGGTGGGGTCAGAGGCCACAGGTGAAGGGTAGGTGGGGCCATAAAGGCCTGGTCCTAGGACTCCCCCGGGCCAAGGAGGCCACAGCTGCTCCTCAGGAGGGTCCCGAAGGCAGCCAGGGGCCCATCTCTACACCGCGGCCCTGGGGACAGGAGGCATTTGGTATCTCCTGCAGTTCCTTGTAAGGATAACAGTGTGAGTGTGTGTGCACACGCGCCATAGTCACATGCTCGGGGACCGTAAGACGACATTTAGAGGCATGTCTGGCCCATGAAAACGCGCACACACACATACCCCTACTTGCGCACACACACACACACACACACACACACACACACACACTACACCTACACACCAGCTTCTCTAGGAGGGACTGAGGGTCCCCGCTCAGCACGACTGTCTCCGGAGACTTTTTCTTCCGAACTGGGAAGCTGCAGGCTCCTTCCTGTTCCCACCGCTCCCGTCCTGGAGCCCACCACACCTTCCAAACCCTTGAGAAGTGCTCAGATCTCATCTAGTTCACCCCCTGCTTTTTCCAAATGGGGAGACGGAGGCCCCAAGAGGCTCGGCAACCTACCCTAGGTACGCAGGCCAGACTTAGAACCCAGGGCTCAGGCTGCAGCGCAATCACCCCCCCCCC